CCCTGAAGAAGAAAGGTCCACCTTTCGAAAGCGCTCGGGTTATAGAGATATATTTCCTCTACTGACAATGATAGCAGTAACTGAAAAACAGATAATTACATGCAATCAACTTCTTGATAGTGCAGTAACTCAACTTAGTATGAGCTGTATATATAGCTGCTCTTCATCTTCCTGCACTAGTGAAAGTACACCTCTGATAACAATATTACTGGTATAAGAATCAAGAAGGAACTGGCATCCCTGGCTCGGAGAGGCTAACACCACTGGATTGACTAAATGGCCTTTATAATGATTAAAATACGTGTACTCAGTCATTATTCCAAATAAACATGCATCTTCTTTAATCAAAGTAGATATCGGTGCTGCAAAAGTGTAGGCTACGAATTTCCTGTGACATGAGGCCAAACCCGATGATTTTTCTTGGTTATGGGCTAATTCCATTTCTCAACATAGTAAATGTTTCCAAAAATAATGCTTTAAGTCAACACTTGAATTGTATTGAAACATTAGTCCCGAATTATCTGTTGTGTTATCTGATATCTTGCCAAATAAAATTTCACCATAAAAGTAGACAAATCAATATTTTTTGTGTAACCAAGACAAGATTCGCTTTATCAACCTTTCAAAAATTCCTGACACATTGCATAGTCCAAATAACATTACTCAGAACTCATACAGATAATCACAGGTAAAGAAAGTAATCTTATATTACTCTTTTAATTTAGCTTGACCTGCCAGTAGCCTGATACCAAGTCCAAGGAACTGAACCAACATGAAGCTCCCACTACTACTCCACTCACCTTGAGAAAGCCCACACAGAACCTTGCCATACTTACCTTTTTCCTCTTGGTGATGATATTATACTTTCCTATTGCATTTGGTTTATCTTTACAGCTACAGTCATGAAAACTATTTAAGAGATGCACATCTTCTGTATATATGTTATGATGGTTTAAAAACACGAAACCCAAATGGCCATCTGATCCAATAAATATACTTAAGAAGTTTGCTACCAGCAACTTTCTTAGATGTGCATCATCCAAATTACTTTGACAAACATCAACAGAGAATGTCAGGTATGCAATAAGATGAATGGCATAATAAATATATGGTGAGATTGAGGGAATGCTAATGTTGTGGCTTATACCCACCAAATTTCATTTTTGCCCCGTGGCAAAATGAACTCAGATACCTCATTTCCACAATTACAGACCAGAAAATACAATGTGTTAGCTATCAGTATTATGATACTATCATACATCAATATATGGCCAATCTTGGTCAGAAAATAGCAGATTTCTGGCATTGGCAGGAATTACTCCACACAAAGTTACCTGCAGCTTTTCTGGATACACTGCTTGAATATTTAGTAACATATTCTATTTACCTTTGCTGTCGTTACTTTGTAGAAAGAGCCAAGCAGCATTAGATATACTACTCAGTAGATATTCAGGTTATGCTGATAGTAAAGTTACGCATTACATATACATAATATTTCAGACTGAGGTCTGGAACATCAATTCTGACACTCCCATTGGGTCCATATAAATTCACTTGGTATACACCAACTGGGATTTAATTATAAAGACAACCTTTCTGTCCTCACAACCATCCCTTGTTTTGGTTTCCATGTAGTTATTGCAAGTCAGCTAGGTTTTCTCACGCACTACGTTTCTGAGCTTCAGATTCGACTTGGTAGATGTTTTTGTTCACCAATGGTTCCTGTTGCTGTTAAGCCTTGTATAACTTTTATGTTTTTACTTCCATTTTGTCTCCGTTGTAGAGATAAAAATCAGAATTTCTGGTGATACGGGAGACTTTATTAACAGCATCTAACACACTGCAAGGTTGAGCAGAGATCTGGTGACCTTAGTATCAACTAGGAACTCCGCTTTGCATCCTCACATACGTACTTAGAGGCATAAAGCCTGGCTTGGCCATATCCTGGACTACAAAATTGTTTACATAATTGCAGATCAATGACTATTCGAAAGCTAGTTTCCTTCCAGAATAAAACAAAATAAACTATCACAGTGTCCACGCCTACTGGAATTAAAACAGATGACTTGCAATTCTTAGTCCAATCATGACTGATATATGCAGTCCAACAAAAACCAATAATCGCCTTAAACTTTCTCTAGGTAACAGTAACTTTTAGGCCCATATCGTATTTGCCTTGTCAGTTATGGCAGTCAGGTGTACAACTGATTAAGTTTTTGACAACACTGAAATTGAGCAGCAATTTCTGCGTTGTCTGGTTGTTAGTCCATGCATTTCAAGTAGAAACCTATTAAGCTCCTCTTTTGTCATTTTGTGAGATATCAGTAGACTTACATTCTTTATTTCACTTGCCATGTTAGAGAAACTGAAGTCAATAACCAATTTCCCTTATGCTTCTTTATAGTTGTGGAGTCGGTCTTTCTGGGTTTTCTCAATTTTTGTATCCCTTGTACAGTTGAGCATGTGCTCTGTGTCTAGACACAAATGGTGTACGTATATTGACAGTGTGAACCGTCACTCTGGCTTAGCCCTTCTGCAATAAAGTAGAACTAAAACGTAGATTGTTGCTGGTGTTTCCCTGTTTCCCTGTAAGGGCAGAGTTGTCCTAATTGAACCCTGACTCCTACTTAAGCACTGACCACACCATCTGAGAATGAACTATGTCCCAATAATGTTCCTTACTAACAAATCGAGCTCACAACCTCAGTCATGCTTTGGCAGCTGGCACGTTTCCTCATCCCGCCTGATCAGGATACAGACAGGGCTTAGTATCAAAGAGGCCTCCATGAAGAGCTTCAGAAGTAGAACACCATTGTTCCAACAAAGATGTTATTGTGCCATAACAACTATTTTCATACAGACCAGCAGTCTATACCACAAAGGCTTAGCCCGTGGAGAGATTATCAGTCCATGTCTTTTCTGAGCGTGGACATTCTCTGCCATGATAGTTGGTTATCTTGATGGATTCTGTAGGTTTGACTAGATGGCAAAAAAATGGTTGAGTGCATGAAAATCTAGAAAGGAAGGATAAATAAGATGAAAGGAAAGAAAGATGTTGTCTTAAGTACATGAAACCAAATATCGATAACGGCACCAAAATGTTTTATTAGGTTAGTCTGTGGTATTCGTATACAGCGACAGTATAAACAAGCCTCTACCACCTTAACCATAAATCATAGAATTTAGCTGACAGGTAGGAGAATATGAAATTGAAGGCAAATGAATGAGTTGATAAAGTAGTTACAATTGTAAAGAAGTGAAGCGAATTAAGGAAATAAAATAGTAAGTTTCACAATTTGATTCTGCTCCTGTCCTTTGGTTTGTTAACTAAAAGCAGACTATAGCTGCTGAAACCAAAGGACATAACTCTCAACTAAACAATAAGAGAATAAAGAATAAGAGTTTGCTTGTTTGAAGTTAAGCATAAACCTACACAATGGGCTACCTATGCTCTGCCCACAACAGGTATCGAAACCAGGTTTCTAGCGTTGTAAGTCCGCGACATATCGTTATGCCACTTGGGGGGGAAGTTCAAAGAGTAAGATCATGCAGCACCTGCGGAAGGCACATAAATTACAAACTCATACCTTATCCATTTCCATGCCACATCATAAGACCTAAAAACGGTTCAAGATAACTTTGTATTCCCATTGAAATATTTAGATAGTCTCTAAAGAAAAATAAGTATCCTAACCACTAATATTGACCAATTTCACGTGAACATAAAGACACTATGAAACTTGTGGTAACTACCCAGAAGTGATGTTTCTAATAACAGACTTTCATAGACAAGTGAACTCTATAGATGTGCAAAAATATTTACTTATTGTAGAATGTAGATTTGATAATATGTATATTCGAATATCATAAAGTTATTAAAACTTGCCTCATCATCATAACTACGGTGGTGCACTAAAGATTGTGTTTAATGTTACTAGAACTCAGCTTCCAAAATATCGTAGTCTTCACAATATTGCTAAGCATGGTATGCTATAAATTATTTTAAAAAAATTACTATATATTGTACTATAAACTATAAGCTGATGTAATATAAACTGTTTAAACTCAGTAAAACTGAAAACACTTTAAGCGTCTACAAGAATGAAAGTCTTGATGATCTGTACATTGTTTTATAATCACTAGAATTCAAGGCATCACAGTCTTTATCGCAATGATAGTCATTGTGTATCATAGTTTGCGTTATAAAATCACTGAAATTCAAAATGTTGTAATCGTTATAGAAATGGTAATCATGATTTTCTGTAGACTGTGGTTGAAATCATGAAAACTTGAAACATCACAGTCTTTAACAGAGTGATAACTGTTTTACTATAGAACTTAAATTAGTACAGTCTTCATCACAGTGATAACTATGCTATATCAAAATAAATAAAACCCAAGCACTGTTGTTTTAACAACGATAAAAATGTAATGAAGATTGTGCTTAAACTCATTAGATCTTTAGCTAAGTTAGCCTTTGCAAGAAGAACAAATATGTTGTACTGTATAGATTGTGCACTCAAAAAACCACATTTTTACTTCAACAATGAGAAAATGGTTTTAAACGTGACATGACGTGACTAGTTGCTTCAAACAAGGTTATGAGGCCAGTAATCAGCTCCCTAGCACGCTAAAACTGGACCTACCTTTAGGTAGTAACGACTTTACTCCAGTATCTGGTCCGTAACTACTTGGTTGGCTTAGGGCCCTGGAAAAATGTTCGTCAACTATGGCTGACGTGTCTCCGGTGAAATAGGTAAAGACAACACAGTTAGCGGATATATAATGAGCGTCAGCTGCACCGTGGGGATTACTTCCAGTATTTTTGTCATCCTCTTTGCCGGTTGTTGTGCAAGACGCGGCCGGAGAATGTGTTGAACAGTCTGTTCCTCTGTTTCTTTGATAGTCCGTGGTGAGGTGCTCTAATGGTTCGAGCATCTTGTGATGGAGGAATTTCTGAAATTCAAGGAAATATGACAGTAGAACTAGTCAATGAAATAACGTAAAAAATCTCAAACCCAATTGTTTTTTCTAAAACTCTAAAATATGTTCTACAAGATAATTTGCCAGCAACCTCGTGGACGGTGAACGGTAACCGAAAGCATGTGAGCTATGCCAGTAGCACAAGCTGGACTTTAAGCCTGCGTGCGGCACTGCTGGCATGCGGCGGTCACAAGAGGTTGGCATGGTAAATAATGAAATTTTTTGATGAAGTAGAGAATCCCTCCAACCTCCTGGTTTGTGAAAGGGGCGGCTGTTGAAGAGCGTATTTGACATTCCATTTTACTGAGTGACAGAACCGTGCAATTACAAGCAAATAACTCGAGAATGTACCTTATTTTTGCACGTTGGTTATGAGCGCGTGCAGTCCAAACATGCCAGAGTTAGATCAGCTTTAATTGAGAACACTTCTCACTCACCTTTTGCTCGGCCATCGGATGAGCTGATGGAGGAGCTGGTCCTGTCATTGTAAAAGGTCCAGCACCCAACACAGAGGCAGCGGGTGCGGAGGAAGGGGCTGCCCCAGCCGCAGCTGCAGGGGCAGGTCGCTGGGTATACGGGAAGTATGGCGTGTAAGGCTGGTACATTACGTCTATGCAACTCATTGTGCAAACGCTATCTGCAGGAGCGAAGTTTTCTCCTACTGTCTTCTTCTCCAATTTTACCCTGCTCCCAACTTGATCGATGTTCACTACGTTCACCCCCAGGGGGCGGGACTTGTGATGAACGCCTGTCGCCCATCGCTGATGCAGGCTATGACAGAGGAATCCACGCCTACTTTTGACGTAATATACGCTAATCCAATCCCTGCGACTGACACATACGGCTTGAGCTGAGCACATCACGGAAGCCGACGACAACACAACATTAATGTCCGATTTACTCTATACTAGATGTTAGGATTTTTCAGAAATTTGAATAATGATATATTTGATCTATACATAGAAGTCCGAATTTCTGTTCTTTTGTAAGAGTTGTTAAATGCACGCACATCAAAATTATTGACAGCAATAAACCTAAGACCCATCTCAACGGATTGAAATCTCCTTCATAAGTACACAACTTCACGATTTTCATCGATCACCAACAGGAACGTAAAGGTAAGAAAATAAATTATCATTCAAGCTAGAGCACGTATAGCAAGTTTCTCAACACCTATAAGTTTTTGATTTCCATGATGATTTGATTAATTGACTATCATCGAGGGTATCAAAACCTGCTCTTTAGAGGTACTTAGATAGTTTGATTAACTGAATATCATCAAAACTATCAAAACACCTGCTGCTTTAGTGCTTACAGTTCGAGATTACCTTTAATATCACCTTAACGAGTTTAAAGAATTTGCTTTCAACTAATATATATTAAAAATTACATCTATGTAATACAGCTGAGCTGTTATTTTCTATGAGCTAACTATTTAGTTATTTCAAAAAATAATAATAATTGTGTTTATAATATATATCACACCATAATACCAAATATAGTTTAATGACGCTACGCCTAAACTTAGTGATAGAGTTGAGAACATTGGATTAGACAGTTCGTCCTGTTTCTTTTCATTCCTCTATGGCCGAGTGTGCTTAACGGTTAGCATGCTGGACTATGCATCAGAAGGTCCTTGATTCGCGTCCCATTGGTCCTTAAAAACAAAAAAAAAACGGACTTTTCTACTTCTAGGCCGTGGGTGCAATATAATATAAATGGTCAAGTCTCATATACAGTAAGAAAATTATTGGTAGTAGATGTTGTTGAGTAACTATCTTCCATCTACTCAATTTAAGGACGACTAACGCATATATCCATTGTATGGCTTTGTGCGGATATCTAGAACAAGTAAAAACAATCGTGTTTCTTTGTTGTACGTTATTTTTCATATAAAAATGTAAATTATTTGTTGTTGATTTTTGTTTGAGAAATTATGATCATGTGTTAGATTAACATGTACATTTTCTTATTAAGAAAGACAATTGTTTCTTAAAGCATGTCGGTATTCTCACGTGTGCTCGTGCATAAATATGTATTTGGGTAATATGTTAGATGATGGGTTAACTGTACCACCGGATCGCATCTGAACCGATGTTTACCAAAACTTCTCTGGCAGCGGAAATATTCTAGACTTTCCCCTCCCCCTCCATCAGTGCACTAATCACTTCCAGACATTTTACTGTTCAGAGTTCGTAGTTTGCTGAAAAATTCATATCTTACTTCTCTCGATATTGAACGGTGCCAGAATAAAATCATTTTGTTCCTCGAAGGAGAAATATTTAAATTTACAAAGCCTCAATTTGAAAAACTGTGCAAAGGTTCATTTTATTTTGCCTAAAGGATAACATGTTCGTGTATGTCTGTATGGTTGTTGCATTGCATTCTTTTTTTTTTTCTTAACAGGATAATAACGTCAAGTGCGTTCGATCTCTTTCACAATTCATAACAGCAGAGACAGCACTTTATTTGCACATAATTATTTTAAGCGTACCACAGTTAATGGCGTTATTTCTTATAGTTAGTGTGGCGTAATATTAACAGAAATTTAATTATTTCTCTTGGGTAGATGCGCGCCTTGCTCCGAAATACCTGCAGCATATGAACCGGCATGAAAAAAATATCACAAACACACGTTCCAAAATAATACCTAACATTCTTGAAAATCAAATATCTAGCAGGAGCTTGCTTGAAAACTCTTTCTCGTTCAAATTCAACTTACTATGTCATTTTATTCCGAATAACATTTGAATACTTTGGAGCCAGATAAATGTTTTAGAATAATTTTGACAATTAAATAATTAATAAGCTGAACAGGAAACTTCAACTGAATTTCGATTTTTAGAAATTAGCAAAATTTAGGAAATATTAATAGAACAGGAATTGAATATAAATAATTACTTAATAGCAGTTAACGTATTACTTATCATATGTTCTTTCAGTTGTTATCGGCTTTGATTTAAATTTTTTATTTATTTAATATTGTTCCAAAGGTGTCGCTTCAACGAGTAAGTTTAATAATTAGTAATGTAGTGCCACAAGTCTCGATTTAGTAATTGTACAACTGGTGTATTTCATTAAACAGCTCTTTAAATTGTATACAGCAATTTAAAATCATACTGATGTTGTTCTACATTACTAAGTATGCTTTCTTCTGTAACAGTGTTCTTCGACCAATATATATAGTTTAACCAAGTCTGACTATAAATATATAGAATGCAATGTGCGTGATGTATTTCAGAATTTAAATAATTTTCCTCCATCATTATTATTATGTTGGTTATCTCACTGAATGGTCTTTCAGGTAAGCACATCTGAACAGTAAAACTCATTAAAGTTTATTTGTTTAAAATAAGTAGAGAGAGGATTGGTGTCCAAGAGTTGCATGTCACTTTCAAACCAATACCGATAAGTTTGCTATTTTTAAAGTAATCAGTATTCTTTACAAACAACAGTCTAACGCAAAAATGGTGACATAAAGAAGCCTAACTAAATAATATTCTGTTATATAAAGAAATATATATATATACTTAAAAACTTAAATATATTTGTTTTAGATTTATATTATAAATTAAATGGACAATGAGATCGAAAGTTTCGATTTCAACTGTAGTTTGTTTGTTTGTTTTGAATTTCGCGCAAAGCTACACGAGGGCTATCTGCGCTAGCCGTCCCTAATTTAGCAGTGTAAGAGTAGAGGGAAGGCAGCTAGTCATCCCCACCCACTGCCAACTCTTGGGCTACTCTTTTCCAATGAATAGTGGGATTGACCGTCACATTATAACGTTCCCACGGCTGAAAGGGCGATCATGTTTGGTGTAACGGGGATTCGAACCTGCGACCTGCAGATTGCGAGTCGAGCGCCCCTAACCACCTGGCCATGCCGGGCCATTCAACTGTAGAAACAGAAGAATACTGTAAATAATAACTTCATGTAGCTACAACAAAATAGTCAAATTGTCTCAAGTACAACAAACTAAACTGTACTTTGGAACGTTTCGTGTCATTTTTTCAACAAATTATTTTTGATTTTCGCAGACAAAAATGAAATGCTTGTTTTCACTATAATAATTGTAAACAGAACTTTTTCAGTAAGAGTAATCTTTCATAAAATATTTGAAATTTAAAATGAATATGTTATCGAAATATTTTATATGGACTCCGTGTTTTGAAACACGATTGTTTGTATCTTAGATTGTTCATTAAATTAACACACAATAGCTGCATTTTGTGTATATTCTACACTGTGAAGCTAGTTTTTCTTTTGCCTAGAATCTTGAAATTATACATATATATATATATATATATGTATGTGTGTGTGTGTATATTATTTCAAATTAAATTAATTAATTTAATCTCGTTTAATAAACATTTATTTTTGTGAAATGCAGCGTTTTCTTACAATAATACATTTTGTTAATAGTTTTCAGTTCAAAGATTAAAAATTAAACAGAAACAAATTTGGTTTAGAAACTGTGATATTTTAAGTTATTTGTCGTGATTTGTTCGTCTTATTGAAATGTATGTAAAAGTGAAATCTTTTGCAATTTTTTTATCATACGAAAATAGTATTTTTTTCAAAAGCAGAAACACCACGAACAATTTTTTCAAACATCTTTCATTATTTTTAATGAATAAATGTAAAATCATCCTTATTTCGAGGCATACGTACTTCCACTAACTTAAGCTTGAATATATCACCAAATAAGAATCGAACCTGGGCTCCACAACAGTAAAATATAACAATTTTTTGATTAGTTAACTGTCTTTCCAAAATACTAAGTTTCAGAATTAACTGATTAAGTTGCAAAAAGTTTAATATATATGGGTAGATGTTTCTAATCTTTCCTGAATCTTCTCTAATGGCAAAAGTATTATTTTTGCAATTGATACGATACAGGTATGTGTTCAGTATAATGTTTATTAATAATAGCTTTATTGTCATATTATACAAGTATATGATTTCCGTGGCGTTTGTCTCTCATGATTACCATTCTAAAATAATTTTAGTTAAAAGGTAAGCAGACATATTAACTTCTATATATGGATCTTAAGATATGTAGATAAAGGCATAAATTAAGTCTTAGATTCATAGAACAAAAGCCCGACTATTGTTCAGTTAAGTAATAATTTTGATAAATTTCTACCATCAAATCTGAAGTAAGATTCACAATGTTTCAGTCAGATTTCCACCACTAGATCTTAAGTTGATTTGATAAAACAAGAACAACATGAGAATCTTTATAGTAGAACACGTAAGGCTGCTCATCCATAAACATCATTTCATTTAAGCTGAACTTTAAGAGTCAGTATTTTTTGTTAAGTTACATATCATTTTTTACTTCTCTATCAAGATATTTTGTTTATTAATACTGCACTGAAATTAAAATTTTGTTTTCTTTTGTGAATGTAGTAAACTGAGGCTGAAAAGTTAATTTAGTTCAAAAAAAGTGCCGAAATTTATTCTACCAAAGTTTCTAGTTGCACTGGTTTAATGCAATAAATTTGGAGCTAATTTTCTAAATGTTTGATGAGTATTACAAATTGTAAGTATATTTTCTTCTAATTCCACGCGTTTATAAAGTACAATACTAGCATATGAATGAATTCCAAGTCAGTTTGATAAACTACAACTGTCTGTTTTATACTTTAAACTTTAGTTCATTATTTGATATGAAGATAAAATTTCTGAGATTTATGTAACAAGATAAATTTTAGGTTCTTAACATAAGCATTTCAAAATTAGTGCTTTACAATAACAAGCCATAAACATAAAACTCAAAGTCTTTTTTTTTGTGGGCGCAGTTAAATCTCACAACCACGGATGATATATCAACTAGGCGTGCCTCTAGAGGGGAGG